GCGGCTGATGTTTGCACCCCATCCTATTCACTTAAATATTCACGTTTCTGGCAAAGGAGAAACGTGTTAACCCAAAGTTTCTTTATTTGTCATTAATTTGTTTAAGCTCTTATCTTATTCTTCCCAGCAAGTAGTTTGTTTATTATTATTTCCATCTACTCTTCTGCATAGATATATATATATATATATCTATACATGTAGTCCTTGCTTTCGATTTGATTAAAAAAGTTCTTAACTTTTGAAATCCCTGTGAGCATTTGCAATTTCTTAGTATCAGCAGAAAGTTCAGTTTTGTGGACATGTAATAATCTGGTTATTGCAACACTGAGGAGAATGGACATTTCCAAAAGCTCTCATGAACTTGTCGGAAAAAACACTTTTTTAGGGATTTGTGTATCACGAAACTACCAGGAAATGTGAACACAGCAAAAAACTAACTTCCCAATTAAGTCCTTAAGATAGACTCACACTCATCAGATTTACCATATTTCTTTATTACGGCATTAATGATTATCACTGATTGTTTCTACCTCTCAATGACATCAGATGGATTTCAGATGTTGACAGTACACTACGACAGTGATGGTGTGAACCAGCGTTTCCGCCAGGGGGGCGTCTTGCTGTCATTTGACAAAAAAAAAAAAAAAAGTATAATTTGAGAGAAGATCGAGAGTTTTTATGGCTTGAAATGACGAAAAGTAAAAAAGACAAGAGCCGCTTTCACTCCAAGTACTTTGCCGTACTTAGTGCCAGCACTTAGTTCCCCCATGGAACTAAAGAGCAGATCGCGTTCTGAGGGAAGATTACGCAAATGAGCCGCTGACGTCACTTCTTCTTCTTCTGCTTTGGGTTTACTGGCAGGCCGCAAACAACTTCACGCCGTATACTGCCACCTGAAGTCCCCGGAGTCCGAGTAAATCGTCAGAACGCCGACATCTCCTCATCTCCACCGCTCCCATGTTTTTTTTTGTGTTGCCATAAGTTAGTCCCTCTCCATTGGTGCGCTGGGCTAATGCTAATACTAATAATGCTAATGCCAGCAAATACAATGGCGGCTTCACAAAACTTTTCAGAGTTTTACGGGCCGTGGTTTGCAGGAGCCAATCAGAATTTTGAACTTTTTTCTCCCCAGGAAAGTACCACCTCTCTAGCAGGGACTGAAAAGGGGGTAAACGTTCTCATGAACTAAGTTCTCTTTTTGGTGTGAACGCAAAATCCCAGGAACTATCGGAACCAAAAGGGAAAAGTACTCCAGTGTGAAAACGCCTAAGGACATCCCTCTGTTGGCGGGGCAAAGGAGTCGGGAGGTGGGATTATTTTCGCCGCCAGCAAAGCGTGTTCCTGTGATGGAAAGTGTACTGCCGGCGAGCCTTGGCGGGGGGGTGCTAGTGGAGCACGCGCGTGAACTGCGAGCACCGGAGCCTCGCAGCGGCAAAGCTGAGGCTCTGGTAAACTGTGGAAAAATTAAGAGCCGTTTAGGAGCCCACATAGCCGGAATTCCCATCATTAATACGTAAAGAGATGGTATCTATAAGGGACGGCTCAATTCAAAATTCAATTCAATCCCCACCCCCCCCTGCTCTCGGGGTGGACGCCCTTTCAACCCTGGTCTGGCGGAAACACTGGTGTGAACTGCATTTGAACTGATTACCATGTAACAAGGGGTTTAACATTACATGGGTTATGGGTTTTTCTTCTTCTGTGGTGTCCGTAGGGAGCGGGACATGAAGAAGAGGGGGGGGGGGTTGCTGACTCAGCGGTTCTGGCTGAACTTAATGAGGGAAGAGTGGAGGACCCTCTGACAGTTACACTCAGGAAGTTTTATTTAGACGTGTTCGCATAAAACACACAACACTGCCTTCTCCCATGAGTCTGTGCAGGAACACATCTGCTCTCATGTTTCCATATTACACAACCATTTCAAACACAGATCAAACCAAGTGAGGGAAGAATAAATACGATGGTGTTAGTTCATGCTGTAGATACATATTTGTTTAAATGTAGGGCTTGTTCTCATTCTGTGATATTTAATTGATTATTTATTTAGTGCTACTTCATGGAATAATGCAAAGATATGGGAGAGGTTTTAATAAAATGACACACACACACACACACACACACACACATACACACACACACACACACACACACACACACACACACACACACACACACACACACACACACACACACACACACACACACACAAAGTGACATGAACATGACTTGTACGTTTTTTGAAGGTGGTGATGTGTGTGTGTGTGTGTGTGTGTGTGTGTGTGTGTGTGTGTGTGTGTGTGTGTGTGTGTGTGTGTGTGTGTGTGTGTGTGTGTGTGTGTGTGTGTGTGTGTGTGTGTGTGTGTGTGTGTGTGTGTGTGTGTGTGTGTGTGTGTGTGTGTGTGTGTGTGTGTGTGTGTGTGTGTGTGTGTGTGTGTGTGTGTGTGTGTGTGTGTGTGTGTGTGTGTGTGTGTGTGGAAGAAGAAGGGGGAAGTAAAACAGATCGATAAGAGCTGATGAAAGAGGAGATATTGTGCTAATTTTCATTTTTGTATTTCGTGCTTCTACTACGACTGATCGGCTCTGTTGTGATTGGTCAACTCCTTAGAGATGTCCCGCCCCTTAGCCTATCACTTACAATGTGTTGGAGCGCTATATTTTAGGCTTTGCAGACCATTTACATGCACCAAAAACGTATATAACAAACCCCAGTAAAGGGGAAAACCTAGCATAATGGGGCCTCTGTTGGAAGTCGGTATACTCAACCCCTCTTCTTAAAAGATAGACATATATATGTGAATCAAACTAAATTGATCATTTGACTTTTCCTCCTCGTTTGGCAGCCTCTCCATGTGTTTTGCATTTTCCTGAAGTGAAGATAATGTCTGTTTTTGATCCGCTGCTTATGCCTCAGGGTGTGTTCCTTAAAGTTTTCCTTAAAGTTCAGGGTTTTTCTCTGTTCAGACTCATGTTAATAAACCCAGATGAGCTGATATCTGGATTCTTTTTAACCCCATTGAGAGATTATGGGACAGTGAGGACATTATCACAATCATGCCTCCACATCAGATCTCACCACACGGGACGGTTAGATCACCTCCTTTGATTTGGCAAACGCTGGATATATTCATGTCTAACTGAAGCCAGCTGATGGGAGTCACACAGCGACGGCATGCATCTCCTTCTTAATCTCCTGAAGGGGCTCCGCGGAGGCTGGAATTAATCAGATCTGTGAGCGAGGAGAGCTTTGAAGGCAGGCATTTTGAGGGAGAATAGGATATGATTGGAGGTAATGAGCAGCTCAGTGCCATAATGTAGAATAGAGAATAAATCCAGCCCCATTTCCATTTAGACTCTGTGTGCAGTACTTTGCATTTCAGTAGAAAGGGACCACCATGCGCTGTCTGTTCACCACGGACACGTTTACTACCTGTACTTTCTTTCTATATCCACGTTTTCTTACTGCTGTTTGAAGGAGTGAGTCCATTGAACTTATTTAGCAATATTTAATGCCTGTCATTCAAGAAACATGACGCACAAACACTCCTAAAATAAAAGAAAGTCTTAAGTGTATGTCTCTTGTGCTGAGTAGTTATTATTAGATTCTGTGTAAAATGAAATCCCCTTTTTACCAGTTACTGTAAATAAACAACTCATTACGATGTAAAAAATATAGTTTTAGCCCATATTACTCGCTATATACACACTTGATTCAAAAGGAGCAGCTTACAGTACATGTATGCAACAAAGCGCTTTGGTTTCCACTAGGGATGGGAACGATTAATCGAATATTCGAAATTATTCAGGTATTCGAATATGAGTAATGAATATTTTTATTTTTTTGGGAGGGGTGCCTAAATTGATTACATATGGTCAAATGGAATAATTCAATGTATACGACAGTGCCATAGCTAAGTGTGTTAGGTCTAAAGGTGTGTTTTGCTCCGCTCACCGGCCCCTCACAGCGGGCAGAGCTGCTGGTGCTGATCTCTCTCTCTCTCTCTCTCTCTCGTCCGGTTATACTTCACTCGCGTTTATGTCCAAATCCATCAGATCTATCTAGTTCTAGCTAACGATATGGCTGCTGCCCCTCCCTACACGCAGACCACGCAGACCTCATCTTATGCCCAAATTCCAGCTGAGAGGGTCTTCTCTACAGCTGGCCTGATTGTGAATCGCCTCCGCACCCGCCCGCCTCTCCCCTGAGTAGACATGCTCATATTCTTTTAGGATATATACATTTCGGTTAATCGGTTAACCGTTTTTTGGGGGGTCGAATATTCGGATATACATTTGCTTTCAAATTCCCATCCCTAGTTTCCACACAGACTGCTTAACCTTCAGGGGTGTTATGCAACAATTTCTATATTTTATCCTCATTTCAAACATTTCGTCTTCCCTCCATTTTCTTTGGTTTTCCACCCCTCCATTCGTATTACTTTTTAAATCAGCATTATTATGTGATATATTGAATGTTTTCTTATCGACATCACCTTGCTTTGGTCTCTTTGTGTCCCTTTCTTTCTCGCTTTTCATTTAGTTATTGTCATTTCCTTTCATAAATCCAGATTATGCCAGTGTACAATCTCATTGTTTGGATGTTAAGCCTTTTTTGACACGCACACAGACAACCCTTTGTTAAGCTTGTTGACATTTCATTATATGCATTGTCTGTTAAATAAAGCACCATGTTTCTCAAATCCAACTTCATTCTTCTCTCACATTATTTACATCACCACCCTTTGGTCCCGCTCTGTCCCGTTCTTCTCTGTTATTGTAACTTCATTTCATAATTACCCCAGTGTATGATATCATTGTTTGGGTTGAAGCCTTATTTGTCGAGTACAAAGATAATCTGTTTCCAAATGTGATATCATTTTTGTCGTACTTCTTTCACCCCTCATACAACAACCATCTATTGAGCTTGTTAACATTTCATGATATGCATGTTCAAATCCCTCACCTTCTGACCTGTCCTCTGTCCTCTGTCCCTCCTCCTCCAGCTGATAGCGGTGTATGAAGAACAGGAGCCCCACCATGGAGGAGACGGGACCAGTGCCAGCTCCACGGGACCCAGAGCCCCGACCTGTTCGCTGTGGACCTCAGCGGGGCCTCGGCCTTCCAGCCCTACCAGGCCAGCAGCGAGATCGAGGTCACGCCCTCCGCCCTGCGCACCAGTAAGTCCCAACCAGGAGAGGACCTCAGGGTCTATAGAGCATGTACACGACAATAACTCTGAATATGGCTTTTAGCACATTTTACAACTTCTAGGGCCTAAGGAATGGGCTTTTGAAGTATCTCTGGATAGTAGATCTAGCTCAAACTAAATATTAACAGAGTAACAGACGTCTCTTTCCCAATGTAATTCAATGGGATTACATTACGTGACTGATAAGGACGTTGTAATACCTATGTAAAATAGGCTATGTGTTATTATCTAAACACGTTTACCCTTTCACATGTTAGGTTTAATTATGAATGTTAAAGTGCACCTATCATGCTATTTTTAGGCAATAGCATATGTCTCAGATATATAAAAAACATGTCTATGAAGTGTTTTGCTCAAAATACCAAACAGATCACCCATTTTATCCATGCCTCATATCCCTCGATTTCACTTCCTGTTTCAAAAGTGCTGATTTGGGGTATACAGCTTAAAATAAATAAATAATTGATTACAAAAAAATGAGGGTTCTGAGTTCATGCGGGACCCGGCAGCTACCGTCTAAACTAAATGCTGCTGTGATGAAACGCCATATCATGGATTATCAAGGATCTGAAACAGTATGGAGCTCAAAGGCTTTCTCTCTTGCCGGTTATACCACAAGGTGAGTTCCTTTGTATTTCCTGCTTCTTCACACACATGCTCTCCAGTACAGGTTAGCTCTGAGTGTTAGCAATGCTAATGTAAACACTGACCATATTACATCCAAAACAGTCGGGCATTGTTTCTGATAGCAACGTTTCTGATTAGGGCCGTGGGTCCACATTTCAGATATTGCGTCATATCGGACGTAAATCTAGATCAGCTCCGTTGTTCCCCGTTTTTAGAGATTTGGGTACGGAGGAAAAGAGAGAGGGTTTTATTTTCTGACACTGCGTGAGTTCCCCTGACGCACCGGGGACACATGTTGATGAATAAAAGACATACAACAAATGCATTTTGCATGATAGGTCCCCTTTAAACATAGCATTTTGAATGAATACATGTCTTGTTCAACTTTCGGTTTTACTTAGCTCACCCCTCGAAGTTTACTTGTGGTTACAAAAAAAACACTAAAATGCCTACTTAGCGCTCGCGATCATAGTGTTGTCCCTTTCAAAGTGTTTTTTAAGTATATGAAGTTTATTGTAACATCTTAATTGTCCTGAAGTCTTGTTCAACAATCTGTGGTACCTAGCTCCGCCCCTCTCATGTCACTTCAGTTCCCAAAAAAACAAGCTAGTGACGACAACATGCTAAACTCAACAATTCAAAACCGTCATCCACAAAGCACTGGGGCATCACTGAAGTAAATACAATAACATGTAGACACAAAGCTGCATTGAACACCATGAGGGGCTTTTCTACATGTATGCATTCATCAAATAGAGGAACCATTAAAGATGCAATCAGGAACCAAAACATGTACTTCACAGATGATTAATTGTTAAGTCTGTTCCTCTCATACTCCTCTTTGATTACAGATCCGTCATCCTCATTAGCAACATATATCAGAGCCGCAGTGTACAGTAAAGCAAACACAACAAATGAGCTTATCACAGCCCAGCGGTACCTTAGCGCTGTCCATAAATTCTGTTAATTGGACAGGAGGGGCTTTTTTCTTTTAGCCACAGATAGCCGTTTGATCCCCGGCCAAAGTGGCTAATTGGTTCTATTCGCCGCCTCCTAAATCAAATGCGACGCTGAGCTCCTCTTCCTCTGCAGTTCTGCCGGCCAAGTCGCTTCTTTTAACTGTAATTACTGCGGGTTTGGACGGGAAAACTGACTCTCGTAGGTGATTTGTCAATTTGGATCAAGCAGAAAACCTTTTCCACACAAGCAGAAGCAAGCAAGCAAGCGAGCAGATGTACAGAGACCAACACAAACGTACTTTCTTTTAGTTCTCAGATATTCTCTCTCTCTCTTTGTCCCTCTGGATCTGCATTCATCATAACGCTTAAAGTTGGGACTTCATCCTGCAAATCTAAGAATAAAAACACATTTTATTTTGACTTAATAATACTCCTGTGCAGAAGAGTATTTACAAAACCTTTTAAGCGAAGTTGGTTATGAGCAGCCTGTTAGGGTCGTAGATGGAGACGCTTGAGAAAGAAAAGTCTTCGTGAGACAAGGCGATATATAAGACAAGATAAGATATTAATCCCAATGGGAAATGTTTGTGTTGCAGCAGCGTAATGTAAACAAGGCAGCGTAATGTAAACATCTCAAAATTGAAATAAAACGGCATTAAAAAAGTAGAGAAGTAGAAAATATACAAATTGATATAGTACAGGTTTAGACATATTCAACATTATGTTATCTAAAGCAATAAAACAATACTTATTCAGGAAAGGGGACGATTACAGTAACCTCGGCAGTGGCTCAGTCAGTAGGGGCTTGGACTGGGAGCCGTAGGGTCGTCGGTTCAAGTCCCCGACCAGACCTACAAATGGAGTGTGGACTGCAACTTGGAGAGGTCCCAGTTCACCTCCTGCCCTGCCGTGGTGCCCTTGAGCAAGGCACTGGACAACCCCCTTCCCTCCTCACTCCCATTGCTCCCCGGGCGCTTTACAATAGCTGCCCACTGCTCCGTACTAGACTCCTGGTGCTAGGATGGGTTAAAAGCAGAGGCCACATTTCACTGTGTGTGCTGTGTGCTCTGCCTGGTGACCATTAAAGAGGGGTTTCATCCCTCCCCTCCCCCGATATTATATTATCAATTTTGTAAAAAGTGTCTTTTCAATCTGTCTTTTGACTGTATGGAATTCTCCCTTATTATAGCTTTTTCTAATAAACCTTCACCAGCATCAGTCTGTTTACATTATGGCCACATTAGTCTTATTTTCATGGCTGCAGGATGCACGTGTTGAATGTCACTGCAGATATTTAAGCTGTCAAAAAATTAGAATACAAAAACAAACAAATAATGCAAAATAAATATTCTCTGTAAAACTCGGGATATTTCAAAGAGAAAACGATAAGCCCAAAAAATAATAAGATATCCCTATATTGAATTGACTGTTCCTCTGTGAACACACATGTGATGAATTGATGGAGAACCGCTAAAGGGTGCACTTTAAAATCCCACTGTCATAAAGCACAGAGCATTTTAATCATACTACTCATACCCAACTTTTCTAAATGTCTCTTACAGACATATTAAAAAATGGCCCAACTCACACTCTCACACCAATATTAGTAATATATACAAATTGAAGTTAATTACAATCTATTATTAACACTCGAAAAAGTAGCCACAGGTTGGCGTATGGCTTATCCGCTAATGACCTGTGAACTGACATTGATTGACACACACACACACACGCATGCACGCACACACACACACACACACGCACACGCACACACTCTCACTCTGCGGGAGGTCACTGCACTCCTAATTGGATTCCTGGGTGAGATGCTGAATGTGAATATGCATTAAAAAATGTAAATCGTGGTCATAATCACACCTGCCAGTTATGTCCAATTTCACCATCTCCATAATAATTTCTAACCCCGGTTAATTGACGACACTGAGTCTCATCGGCTGCATTTGATCGGGTTTTAGGAGAAATGTCTGTCAAGAGCCCCTAATGACTGAATCAGAGATTTCTGTTGGTCTCTGCCAGTGTTCTCGTGTGATTAAGCTTATTAGTCAGAGAGCTCTATTGAAATCACAACTGGATTAATGTCAGTTTCTTGGCTCTGCAGATACGACAAGAATGATCAAAGGACACTGCAAACAGTATACTGTGAAAGTATGAAGTTGAAATGCAAAACATATTTTTAAAAGTCATACCTGACGTTCAGAATTATGTTATTATTATTATCTGAAATTCAGTAAAGCGTTACCTGATACTCTGCAGTTACTTTTGAATGTGAGTCATTAGTCATTTCTCTCGAGGTTTGCTTTACAGAGGAAATAATAATGTTAACTATTAAAAATACAAATAAATAAGATATCTGTGGTACTAACTGATACAGAAGAAACGTATCAAGTAGAACATCTGCAAAGTGTTACAAGTATCATGGTCTGTACACGACCTAATAGTTAATAGTACAGTTCTAATGATAAATTAGAACCACTCATTTCTCTCCAGGCTTGCTGTTTTCTCTTCAAGTCATGTTTACTAAAGTTGGTACACACATATAGCTCAGAGAAAAGCTACAGAAAGAACCACTTAAAATGAATCTGATTGGATGATGCTGTAAGCATGTTTTGGCTGTTCTTCTCTTAGTGAAGTTTTTTAAATTGTAGCGTTCAAGGCTCGTAGACGTTAGAGGGTAAATTGCTGATGATAAAGTAGCATTTGGTGTTGGATGAGTACACGGTAATCATCACTTTAGTTCCTCTGAGGAGGTACCCTGATGCCTCCTGGGAGATGTATTTTAGGAAGTGTTGAGACTTATTGTCACTACAGCTACGTCCACTCCTGATCTCCATCCTGCCGCTCAGATCCCACGCTCCTGTGACCCCACACCACAACACTCAGCCAATTACATGACACAAACACACACACACACACACACACACTTCCAGATTCTCAACACATACTGTAGCTGTTGGCCCAGATATTACCAAATACAAACACATGTGTTGTTGTTTGAGTGCACAAAATATACAAACTAAAAGACATTCTTACCCAATAATGTTACACAAACCCATACACACATTTGTAATTTCCACACACACAAATAGCCACTTGCACGAATGAACGTAGCTCTAAACAAACGTATTAAGTGTAAAAACACACACACTGATCTTCAACCTCATTAGCTCATCAGAGCGTATCCACACACACACACACACACACACACACACACACACACACACACACACACACACACACACACACACACACACACACACACACACACACACACACACACACACACACACACACACAGCATCCTGGAGGAGAACATGGGAACGTGACTCTTGGCGTTATCATGCGAAGAAGATGTAGACTTACTAATTCTGTGTACACTCCATATATCTTGTGTGGTCCGCTGGGCACATTTCAGCCAATCAGAAACGGCCTGTGGGATTTTGGAGAGGTCCGAAAGTGGGAGATTTGTAATGTCATAACAGTGTTTCTTGTGTACGGTGCAAGCTGTGTTGTTCTGGAGTTGTTATTAGGATCTTGGCCCACTTCCCACGCACTGCAACTTTTACACCGAGTGAAGAGTTTTAATGGAAGGCTTCCACTTGCTCTGTATTCTCATCCTCATACTGTTGTTCCCACTCATTGGCTGCTGCCCTGCGATGCACTGGCACTACATTACAAACTGATTATTCCTCAATGGGCTGATAATGGCATCTCAATGATTAATCGCCTTTATAAAACCATAATGTTTGAGGAACAGCATTTGTTCCAGCCTATTTGAATCAATCATCCCCCAACATCTTATTAAATACTTGTCTTGAGTCTTATCATCTAGAGCAGTGTTTCTCAAACTTTTTCATACCAAGGACACTTAACCAATAAAAAAACACTCGTGGACCACCTAACTCCACAAATATCCAAAATCACATCGTTTTTCTAGAACAGATTATAAATCGCCTGAAAATGGTACAAACAAGTGGCAACATGTGTGATGAAGGTGTTGCGCTGGGCTATATCATGCGAACGAAAGTTCAACTTTAGCTCGCTCCATTGCGGAGATATTCCCGCAAGAGTGCGGAAAACTTAAATGTATTTATTTATTTAAAATGTGAAATGTTACCAATATACTCGCGGACCACTAGGGGGCGCTCATGGACCACCAGTGGTCCGCGGACCACACTTTGAGAAGCACTGATCTAGAGCTAGGAGTCTGCTTATTTTCCAATAAGGTGATATCCTACAAATGAGTACCACACAGTATTATTATTTCCTCCATACGCCAGGGTAAGGATTTTAGGATTATCTGTTTTTAAAAATCGACATATCGTGGATCCGATGTAACACTCACAACATTGAATAATAAGACAACGAGGAATCAATAAGACACAGAGATGGTTGTATCCCATATGGATGTACAGCGTTATAAGAGACCTTGCACCAGTCAATAGCGTAATGTCGCTAAATTAATTAAGTAAATCTCACAGCTTATATACTCCCACTGATCTGACATGGTATTGTATTGCATTTTCAAACCCCCCAGACTTTAAATAATCTTAGGTTCGATGTCCTTTCTCTGCTAATACCTTACGTAGAGAACTCGTTGGTCACAGAAATAGATCGGCCTCTTTCCTTGAAACTAAATGAATACTCATTAGTATGGTTTGAAACATATGATTATCAGTATTTACATTGTAAAGTGAAGATTTGTTTACCTACTTCTGATACATGCTCTGATAGAATAACTGTATGTTGTTGGAAAAACCCAATAAAAACGTTTAAAATAGAAACATGATTATATAAAACCGTTTTTACAGTCGTAACACCCTTGCTCTTCCTTGTGTCTCTCAGATATGCCTCTCCACGTGCGGCGCAGCAGCGACCCCGCCCTGCTCACCGTCAACGGGCCCTTCAACGGCGGAGAATCACGAGTCCAAACCGAAGAGCCGCCATCGAGGAAGAACCCGACGCGATGGTCCACCACCGCCGGGTTCCTGAAGGCTCGACACAACTCCGGCACCAACAGCCTGGAGAGAAAAGTACGTGTCAAAACCAGAGCTGGAGATGAGGATGATATTTGATTTAGTGATGAAGGAGTTGCAAGTCAAGTGCATACAAGTACAGTGTCACAGGTACACAGAAGACAGTAAGGTGGATTTACAAGAAAAGACAAATGACAAAATATACATGGAGACAAACAAATAAACGGTGTTTGAGGGATTGGACAACAAAAGAGAGTCATATATGACACAATTAAAATGATAAGAGAAAAGTAGGTTTTAAAACCAGAGCTAGAGAGGAGGCTCATTCAAATAGATGGGACTGTTGAAGGAACCATTTCAAATTCAAGTCCACTATTTGATTTATACCGTACAGAAGCACTGGTGGGTTTACAGCAGGGGTGTCAAACTCATCACGGGCCACATTAGCATTATGGTTGCGCTCTAAGTGCCGGTTGTAACTTTTAGACTATATAAATATACATATATATTAAATAATTTATTATATTATATTATTGACTCTGCGTTGGATTACTATCAGTTCTGATAATAACTTCATAAATAACTACGTCTGAAGCAGAAGTCTAGGGCAAATAATTGAAAGACAATATTCAACAATTACAGCTATTGTACATTATATTCTTTGCAAGCTCTTGCGGGCCACATAAAATGAGGTCGCAGGCCGGTTTTGGCCCACGGGCCTTGAGTTTGACACCCCTGGTCTACAGTATATACCTTTTTTGTAAAAAGTAAATCTTTCAAATGTGCACATTATCCTGTCTTTACAAATAGGGCTGAACGATTGGTCGAATGTTATCAAGACCGCAGTATGGACCATAGCATTTTGAAGGAAGTGTAGCAGAGTGGCTTTGATGTACCCACATCTTATTCTACAGACTTAAAAGAACATATATTTCTTGGTACACATCTTCATAAGAAATAATAATGTATCTGTAATTATCATTAAAACAGGATCAAACCCTCAATATTGTGAATCAAATCCCAATTGCAATACCAGCCAAAAAAAATCCCAATTATAATTTTTCTCCAAATAGTGCAGCGCTACTTTAAATGCTCCAAAACTCAACTATTATACAACAACAACATTGGTATTAATGAAATACCTTTTTGTGTGTAATATATATTTGTATTGACATCTGGCAGCAAACAATTACACAGTGTGTTTTCTAGACAGTCATTCTACATCTTAAGTTTGTCTGTCCGAAATGCCTTTTTCCTTTTTTTACACAAAGATCAAATAAAAACAGTAAAAAGTACAAACAATACGAACATTAGGGAGCGATCAGGACTTCACAGTAAAATCATACGTTTGTAAAAATAAAATCTGGCCTATGAGGTTTTACGAAATCAGTCCACTTTCTCCACCGTGACACAAATAGTTCCAGTTTGTGATTGACAGATGATGTCATCGTCTCCATTTTGTAAATGTCTATAGAGTGGTGAAGTCCCGCCCATCTGCTTCCGCCCCATGGGACCTTATTTCGGAAAAAGTATGTATTGAAGTCAATGGAGAGAGAAAACGTATCTCTCGATCCCGTTTGAATTGTGCCATGAATTACACATATGATGTTTGTCAATCTTAAATAATAATTTCCATGTCAAAAAAGTCACAGTTTGTCGTAAAACTGTTGAAATATAAGACTATGAAAAATACGCAACTAGAAAGACTACAAATCCCAGAATCCCGGTCCCGCATGCTGGCTCTTACGGAACCGACTAACTCCCCTTGTGTGTGTGCACAGCTCTCAACACGCCCAGACTTGGAGTGATTTTCACCTCTTTTAATACTTTCCGCCTCGTTCTGAAAGAAAGGAGTGAAATGTTCCAACGTGACGGCCGTCTTGGTGTGTGGTGCGAGACGGGAGATGTAGGTCATTGAGCGGTTTCACACAAGAAAAAGTTTTACGACACATTTTAATTTTTTTGACTTGCAAAACTACCTTTTAAATTGACAAACATCATATGTGTAATTCATGGCACAATTCAAACGGGATCGAAAGATAATCTTTCTCTCCCCATTGACTTAAATGCATACTTTTATACATACGAAATAAGGTCCCATGGAGGTTCCCAGGAAGGGAGGGACTTCGCCTCTCTATTGTAATATCCATCCATGCGTTTAAAGTTGGGCTATCTGGTGATAACCACTTCCTTGTAAGCGCTTTTTTACTCGCCACCAGCAACAGATTGAATACATATTTGTCTTTTTAAATGAAAGACCTTGTTAATGAATTATGCGTGTCTTTGCAGGAAAAAGCTATGGACACGTACCGCAGTCTGCCTCGGGATGCTGGGACGTGGGCCAATCAGAGAGAGTTTCAGAGAGAGACCGCCCGCTCATCGCTCAGCGCCAATCACCCCATGGTGGACCGCTGGCTGGAGAAACAGGAGCAGGTAGGACCGTGTTCACTTCTTAACTTTGGATACGATAATAATGTATTGGTCGGATCAAGTCTGACATGTGACTTGCATCACAGCAGCTCCATGTGTAGCATCAACACATATCAAGACACAATACAACAAACATTTAACATAACAGCAGGATCAGTGAGAGAAAACATGCTCAAAGAGCCTTCAGCGTGCATTAGGATTCAGCTCTGTGTTTACTCTGAGGATGGACTGGAGCACAAAGGAGTGTACATCAGTACACTTGACATACTTATTGCTGTGTTAACAATACTTTCATGTAATGCCGTACACAACTAAAAGACTATTGTTTTTACCACGCATTTTGCCGGGGCTCCAGTGTTCGAAAACTGTCTCGAAGCTTGTTCCCTGGCCATTAAATCCAACACAAGGCTCATTTGAAACTAATGCACCATCTCTTGTAATGGTTCAGTTGACTTGAAGTGAATATACCTGCAATGTGATTCATTTAGCCAACTTCAGACAAAGAGGTTGAAGTAGGAGAGGCTGAGATGTTGTTAGAAAACCTTTTTCACTTCTTAACTTTGAATACATGAGTACACTTTAGCTCAGGTACACTTGACATACTTATTGCTGTGTTAACAATACGTTCATGTAATGTGTTACACAACTAAAAGCCCCTTGTTTTTGCTACGAGATTTACCAGAGCACCCGTGTTCGAAAACTCTCAAAGCTTGTTCCTTGGCCATTAAATCTAACACAAGGCTCATTTGAAACCAATGCACCATCACTTGTAATGGTTCAGTTGACTTGAAGTGAATATATCTGAAATGTGGTTCATTTTGACAACTCTAGACAACGAGGTTGAAGTAGGAGAGGCTGAGATGTTGATGAGATTGTTACAAAACCCCACACTCACTACACCTCTCTGTTATGTACCTGAACGCCTCATATCTCAAACTATCCAACATTCGTAGATTTACCGTCCGTCAGCCCTGAGCTCTGTGAAAGCCCGTCTGATTGGCCGGGATCGAGTCCAGGGTCCCTCAGCGTAGAGCCTTAACAATGAGGAATTTCCACCACAAATCCACAATGACACATAAATCATGGAGGGAGCGTTACATAATGTTGATACAGTAAATAGACATATGGTCCTGTTTAAGGGGGGGGGGGGGTACTGCTGAGGTCACTGCTGAGGTCATGCACTGTCAATATTTGTATGAATATGATGATAAACTGTGATAACATATCATGACACACTTGCATTGTTCTGTTCTTACTTTGTGTTTGCAAAGCTTTTATTACTAAAATATCACTTGCATATTATTAGTGATATCTTAAGTAAACATGAAGTGCGTAAAAGAGATCGCCATCTTTTCATGGGCTGTTGGATTTGTTTGTCTAACATCTGTACCGTGTTAAGACATGTGCATAGCTTACTAGGGTTATCTTAATGTACTATTAGAGATAATAATATCACGTTTTTGTTTTGTGACACCCAAGCAAATGTTATGCACTTTGCAAAAGTAAACGTGAATGCTGAACAAGACATGTTTTAGGCATTCAAAATGGTACCATACATTTCATGAAGTGAAAACAGTGAATGGGATATAAAGGAAAACAAGCATCACACCCAAAATCATACCCTGCTTTATTGTCTATTTTACTGAAAATGAGACAATAATTTGCTAAATTAACGTTATAATGTTTTCAAGAAGACTTATAACTATGGATTGAGACCACAAACTCATGATTGAAATGTTTACTAAGGTAATAAATTAAAGTAATGGGGCAATTTTCACAGATAGCCTTCTTTAGAATCTGACTTCAATTTGCGACTACACTGCACCATTATAATGAAAGCATGTTTAAGGCACTTTTGCATTGGCTTCAGATATCATACACACTTATTGACTCTACTTGGTGCTATCGAACTAAAACTTGTTACTATTTGTATTCCTATATTAGTTCTTTCTCAGTTTCTTCGGGTTAAAGGTACAGCGACTTCTCACCATTAGAGTGGAGCTGCACCATTTCCCTCATGTGTCTTACAGCAGCTTTCAGTGAGGGTTAAGCGGTGGAGGTCACTGCGGGGTGGTGTAGCTGGTGTTAATGACCTGCTGAAGGCCATGTCCCCTCCTCTGCTCACACACACACACATAGGCTGTTGTTGTTGTTGGCCATTGTTGAGAATCGTCCCGCTGTCACTTTGATTTAAGCTCCACGTAGCTTTCTTTGTTCCAGGAAAGATGTTGTAACTTTGCTTTGATGGGAAAAGCTTATTTTTTTGTTCCCCAACTTTATAATCAAATGACAGAATGGATGATATACACAGAATTAAGAAGAAACCCTTTTGTTAGAAGCAGAAGTCTGTGTCCATTGACTATAATTGTTGACACAATATTTCATTCTGTTGGAACCAGCGCTTTGTTTTCTTTTGTATAGGTTGATGCTTAAGGTTATCATTTGGGATTAAACGCTGTCTAACGGCGCATTCCCACTGCGTGCCGTCCCAAACTCGGCCCGTTTTTTTTGCTTTTCCACTAGGGCTAGTTCCGGCTAACGGGTACTTTTTCACCTTTTTTCTGGCCCTCCAAAATCGAGGTTCTAGAGATGTCCCGATCCGATCACGTGATGGGGGATCGGAGCCGATCACGTGATTTTCAAAAGATCGGAATCGGGAGAAAAAAATCGGGGATCGGGATTTTTTTAATTAATCTTTTTATAAAATATATATATATTTTTTAATTTATTTAATGTTACAAAACAAAAATGACCATGTTCACGTCTTAAAGTCATCCTGAGGCCTTAGTTTTGGTTTAAAAGGACACAACATCATGTATGTGTTGCTTTCTTTGGGCTTGTTTTCAGACCTGGTTGTTTATGTCTCTCAAAGCAACAGAGTGGGCGCAGTGTCTAATAGTAGCAAGCTAACGAGAGGCTACGTTCAGCTGGTGACTCGGGAGTCGGGACAGAGAAAATGTCAGGAGTTTGGAAGTATTATAAAATTGAAAGCGAAGGCAGTGTAACAGCCAGATGCAATGTTTGCAAGGCGGAGGTTCCGCGTGGTGGAAAGAACAGAGCTACGTTCAACACGACCAATCTAATACACCACCTGAGAAACAAACACAAACAACAACACAACGAGTACAGAGCGGCCACTCAGGTACCTTTTTTTTCTCTTAATGCATTGCATAAAGATCGGATCGGGAAAAATCGGTATCGGCAGATTGTCAAAATCAAATGATCGGAATCGGATCGGGAGCAAAAAAAGGTGATCGGGACATCCCTAGAACAACCGGGCTGATTGATTGATTGATTGATTGAAAAGTTTATTAACAGCTTGTATATTGGGTACAGTACAGTACAGCTCAAAACATACAATTGTTAAGGGGATGCAGACCAGAGAAAGACTTTCGTCTTGTTTACATCAGGGTCCCCCATTTCCAATTCATCATATCATTTAAGACATATAAGACACATTTGACATACAGATGGCTTATTTACAATTTCATTTTAGATTTCGTTCTAATACATCCTAACCGGACATTTAAGACATACCAAGTCTACAGATATAGCCTACAGTTAGTAACAGAGTCTAAAATGCGAGTCTGCGAGGCTGAATATGCTAAGCTAGTGACATAAACACTCAACTGATTTAATTGTAATACACGTTTCAAAATGATGCCGGAGTAACAACATACTGATACCGGTTAGTAGAAACCATGAATTAATGCTTTGACAAGTCTGCAGACAGACGGCAGGAGAAAAACCTTTTAAAATGCGTGTTGTCTGAATGTAGCTTGGCTAAGCTAACGTTGTATACGCTCCGACCGTCCACACTCACAACAACGGCCTATTCAGACATACATAAACCAGCGACTGTATTCGCCATGACACAGGCAGTCTGTGGTTTGTACTTGTTTAACTTTTGTCTAGTTTCTGAACAGATATGAGGAGCTCTGAGTGCTAAGAGCTAACGGCTGATGTTGGTTTTGTGGTTCGCATTGAAGATGACGTCACGGCTCCGCCTACACTGCGTTACTATAGTTACTGCCCCAGCTACTAAACTGTAACGGCCCGTCTACACTACAGGCATCGAAAAAGCTTGAAGCTGGGCGTGTCTGAAGCTTGGCGATTATTTGCGAGCAACCGGTTTGTATCCCGGTAAATAGTTCTGGTCGGAAAGAACCGGGTGATTTGCTACCGTAATTTCTCGTTTGGAATATGAGGAAATGAACTGCGGTCTGGCTCTCCCAGCTTGCACGCGGTTTGATTGGCTAGCGCTTGTACTGGCGGGAATTGCACAAACGGGATTTGATTGGCTGACGCCAGCTTCGAGCAAGCATCGAGCCTCAAAAGTTGAACATTGTTCAACTTTTGACGCCGATAGACGCTCGCGATGCTTGCAACGCCTTGCCATGCTACCCACAATGCAGTTCGGCGAAGTTTGAAAATATCCTACGTCACCCCATTCAAATGAATGGGCGAAGCGTTGAAAGCATTTTTTGACGCCTGTAGTGTAGACGGGCCGTAATGGAAACGCAGCATAAAGTGAGCCTGGCCTACCAAGGCCTAACTATACCGTACTAAGCAGAGCGAGGCCCTGCAGTGGAAATGCGCCATTAATGTACCGGTCTGGATAGAAAAGTGGCAAACACATCCTGGAAAAAAGGCTGCACTCAAAGTTACTCTGCTTTTTGGGGTCATCCTTTTCTTGTAGTGAGTAATATAGGCTTTCTGTGCCTGTAAACGGTCTACAAAGGCTAAAATCCCAAAGTTAGACATCACTATGTAACACTCACGCTTCTATTGCTTAGCGCTCCAACACATTGTACATGATAGGCTAAGGGGCGGGACATCTCTTAGCAGCTAACCAATCAGAGCAGACTGGGCTCTGGTTTCAGACAGAGGGTGAAAAGAGGTGCTGCAGCACAGGCAGTATGAGAAAAATAAAGAGCTTTGTGAACATTAAAGCATGGAGACATGTCCCAGTTCATGCATATTAAAATCCATACTGCTTCTGTA